AACAATCCGGGTCCTCATTTTACCCACCTCGGAAGGATGGAAGGCTGAGTCAACCTTGAGCCGGTGAGATTTGAACAGCCGAACTGCAGAACTGCAGTCAGCTGAAGTAGCCTGCAAGTCAGAATTTAGCTCTACTTCAGTTAATTCAGAATTTAGCTTTAAAGAAGGGTTGCGGGAATTGGGGGTGGCTAGCCTAGTGAAAAAGAAGGTGTGGGGGGTGACATGATAGCAGTGTTCCAACAGCTGCCATAAAGAAGAGGGGGGGTCAAGCTATTCTCCAAAGCACCTGTAGGGTAGGACAAGAAGCAATGGGTGGAAACTAATCAAGGAGAGAAGCAAAAATGATGAGCAGAGTAGCCTTATTGTATTCAAGTCACCCTGAGCAAAGCTTTAAAGTGTGGCTTTGCAAGGATTGTCATTCAAAACGCATCAGCAATAAAGCATTTGGAAATAACCCAGCAATTCAGCTCATAGTTGGAGGGTGCGATTGAGGGGTGCCCGTATAAAACAAACTATTCTCCGGAGGACCTGAGGACAGGACAAGAAGTAATGGATGGAAACTAATCAAGGAGAGAAGCAACCTAGAACTAAGGAGAAACTTCCTAACAGCGGGAACAATTAACCAGTGGCACAGCTTGCCTATTCCATTGAATGGCAGAAATTTCTTGACAACTAGAAAAATTAATCAGTGGGAACTCTAGAAGTTGTGAATGCTCCAACCCTGAAAATTTTTAAGAGATGGGACAATCATTTGTCTGAAGTGGTACAGGGCTGTGATGGCGAACCTCCACAGTTAGCACCTGGAGCTCTCTCTGCGGGCATGTGAGCTGTCGCCCCAGCTGAGCTCCACTGTGAATGCGCACACACCTCCAGCCGGCCAGCTAATTTTCGGGTCTCTGCTGCGCATGCATGGGGGAGGGGGGTGAGGCACATGCAGGAGATGTGCATGCATGGGAGGCGGCAGGAGGAGTGGGGGGGTGCTCTACCCATGCCCCGTGTTTGGTCTTAGGAGGCTTCAGGGAGGCCCCCTGAATATTTAATTCAACCACATATGCTAGTTTTGTGGCTGCTCAGGAAATAGTCAGGCACGGGAAAGGTTTCGTGACTCCCGATGTTTTTTTCCCCATGGGAAATGGGTCCAAATGACTCTTTGAGTGTTTAAGGTTGCCGACCCCTGAGCTAAGACTAAGGGACAAGCCCAAGATCACAATAGCTGGCTTTCATGGTAAGATGAGAATAGAACCAGCAGTCTCCAGTTCCCCAACAAATGCGTGCTCGACAAAAGCGCACCGACGAAACCACGGCGAGAAAACCGTGAGTTCTAAATCGCGCCGACGAATTAGTGCAGAGGCGCGCCAACAACAGTGCGCCGACAAAAGCATGCCTTCAACAAACAAGTAATAACAACCTAATAACCCTAACCCTAATCCTAACCCTAACCCTAATCCTAACCCTGAACCTAACCCTGAAACTAACCCTAAACCTAACCCTGAACCTAACCCTTACCTTAACTGAAATCTCTTTTCAGCTTTTGTGGGCGCATTGTTGTGGGCTCTTTTATGACATCGTGGTTTTCTCGCCGCGGTTTTGTTGGCGCGCTTTTGTCGTGCGCGCATTTGTCGGGTCACGGCAGTCTCCATCTTCCAAGCTGGGTGCCTTAACCAGTGGACCAAACTGGTTCCTGAGGGTCTTCCTGCCACCACAGGAACTGCAGAGGCAGGAAATGGGTTCCACCGAATTGGCCTCTTGTGTCTTGCAGGGAGCCAGCCGCATGCGTGGTCGTCTGGGGAGCACGGAGAGCTTTGAAAGGTGCAACCACCTGACTTTCGACAAAGTAAGTACCGAATGGATGGAAGCACCCCGGGGTAGAACCCGTTGCAGAAGAAGCAACGGCATTGGTTTACCTTGCTTTCAATCACAGGTAGTCCTCAACTTACACCTGCTCCCTTAGTGGCCCTTTGACATTACAGCGAAAAAAAGTGTCTCACGATCATTCTTCACAGTTATGACCGTCGTAGCCTTCCCCATGTTCACGGGATCAAAATCTGGACGCTTAGGACGGTGGCAGTGTCCTGGGAGCAGATGGGGGTCCCCTTTTGTGACCTGACCAGCAAAGTCAATGGGGAAGCCAGGTTCACTTCGCAACCTCGTTACTAACGTAACCACGGCAGCGATTCACTTAACAACTGTAGCAGGAAATGGGGCAAACAATGGCCCATTTTGCTTGCTGTCCAAAACTGACTTTAATCATGTAAATTATACCCTACCAGAATTGACAGAACGTCACTTGAAAAGATTAGAAGCATTTGAAATGTGGATTTACAGGTGGAAGTTACATATCAGCTGGGTTGAAAAAATGACCCTCTTGCTGAGCAAGAGAAATTTTGAGTTCAGTTGTTATAAACCGAGGACTAACTGTATAGGACTGGAACCAAATATGCTGATACGAATATGCTTCACTCACTGGACCAAAACTATATTTGGTGTTATATGGGCAATATTGGGAGTGGATTTCTTCTTGTGCCACATCCATCCTCTGAAATTGGTGATCACGTTGGCAATCCTATTTTTGTCAACAGCGACATGAAGAAGTACTGCTGAGTTTTGTCCAAACCGGTCCCATAGATTTTGAAGCCATCATGTTCTTCTGCCTGGACCTCATTTGCCTTCAATCTTTCCTTGGAGGATTAAGTGAAGGATGCTGTATTTTTCCAGGTGTTGAATCACATGTCCAAAATATTCTACCTTTCGCTTTTTGATGATTTCCCTTGGCTTTCCCAGGTAGCTTATCACCGCCTCATTCCAGAATTTGTCAACCCAGCTGATATGTAACTTCCGCCTGTAAATCCACATTTCAAACGCTTCTAATCTTTTCAAGTGACTTTCTGTCAATTCTGGTAGAGTATAATTTACATGATTAAAGTCAGTTTTGGACAGCAAGCGATTGTATGCACAATCATCATGAGTTGATCCCAATTTGATTGCCCGTGCGTTTAAATTGCTATTAGGCTTTTAAAGTTTTACGTAACTCTCAATTGATTTGATGGGGCTTACCGACTGGTTGGAAAAGTGGTTTATCAGGGAGACAAGCAAATATGCCAGGTGACCTAGAGGAGATAGTAACCATATCCGAAAATTAGATTCTCGGGATCTTGCAAAACAACCTTGAATTGTTTGAACAAGAACACAGATTTAATGCTCTGATTGAAACTGGAAAGAGTTTGACCCCCTTCTGCCTCTTTGCAACTTAACCAATAAATGCTTCGTTAATGAATCAATTAGCAACAGAAATTTTGGGGTCACTTGTGGTTGTACGTCAAGGACTACCTGTGGGGTTTTTTTTAATATTGAAGAGGATAAGTGGGAGGAAAGTAAGTCATAAAAACTCTGGGCTTTCTCTGGAGAAGCAGAAAAAAATGTCTCCCGTCAGCACCAGATGGGGAGCATCGGAGAGGATGAACTTCTTGTGCTAAGCAGGCTGGGAAAGGTACCCTTTCTGCTTACTTCCTGTTGAAATGCTTTCTCCGTTACTCCTACAATAGGGATTTCCCACCCCCTTCCCCAGGATATAAATTCAGGGTTGTTTGTGTGCAGGTTTTCAATTATCCTGCCGGCTTATCCGAAGTGGAGCTCCCACCAGATGCAGCTTGAACAAGGCAGGGAAATCCTGTCGGCTCCAGATCCAGGAACCGGGCCAAGGGGCCAGCTTTGGTGAGGAGGGTGGGCTTCTGGCTCGCTTCCTCCTCTTCTTCCTCCCTCCCTGGATGGTCCTCTGTTAACATTTGGACACCCTGGGCTATGTCAAACGCGGACAGCGTTCTCCCTTCGGAGAGCAAAGTGGTTTGCGTGTTTTCTTTATAAGCTTCAAGAAACGCCTGACTTTGTGTGGAGAGAGCCACCCCGTAGAAGGTGTGGGTCGGCAGGAAAGGCGCATAGAAGACGTGGGTCGCCAGGAAAGGTGCGTAGAAGGTGTGGGCCGCCAGGAAAGTCCCTCATTCTTGTCTGTGGCTTCTAGGACTGCTCCTCTGGGGACTCCCCACCCTCCACACCTCCGGCGTCTCCCGTTGCCTTGGCCGGACACCCGTTTCCCGAAGAGGACTCTGATTCTCCTCAGTTTAGGAGACGCGCGCATACTTTCAGCCACCCGCCCTCCGCCTCCAAGAAGAGGATCACTTTCCAGAATGGAAGGTCTCAAAGTGTCCGGTCGCCCCTCATGAGGCAAAACTCAGCCGAACAGAGCAGGTGAGTTGGGCTGGGAGAGCCAAAGGACTATCTTTAGAGGAGATGCGGATTGGATGCCCGCTTGGGAGGCATCCTGAGATCCTTAGTTCAGGAAAGTCAGGGCTGCCTTCAGATAGGTAGATGTCCTGAAGTTGGGATGGGATGGTTGCAATGTATTTTAAGTAGCCAGGTGTACGATGACGATGATGATAACAACAACAACAACAATGATAATAATTAATAACAGTGATACCCATTGTCATCGGAGCACTTGGTACCTACCATGTCCAAGAATTTTATAAAACACATTAAGAAATTGCAGCTTCCTGCAATAACACCAGCGGAACTGCAAATAACTGTGCTACTCGGAACATCATATATTTTAAGAAGATACTTGGTTAATCCCTAGGACGCTGGCAGCAACCCGTATCAACCGTTAGCACCAGTCAATGGTATTTGGGACACATCTTTAAATGTTCAGTTGACTGAGTTTCATGTTTAATGTATAAAAGAAATAATTAATAATATCTGCTGACCAACTCCCAGCTCAACTGAAGTCTCTTGAGAGGGATAAATATTAATCTCCTCATAAAAATGATACTTGAAGGTATAGAATAATAGCAGAATAACAGAGTTGAAAAGGACTGTGAAGGTCTTCTAGTGCAAAATCGGTCAAAATTAGTCATCTATGTTCAGAATTGGTCATTGATCCTGTGCACTGAGACATGTGTGACTAGTTTAAAATGAAGGAAAAGAGGTCATTTCCAAAATTCTATGTATTTAAATCTCAGGGACCTTGGAGGTCTTCTAGTCCAAAATCAGTCAAAATTAATCTTCTAGGTTCAGAATTGGTCACTGACTCTATGCACTGAGGCAGGGATGACTAGTTTAAAATGAAGGGAAAGTGTCATTTCCGAAATCCTATATATTTAAATCTCAGCCATGAAAAACTTTAGAGAAGACAAAAGAGAACATTTTGCTTTTTTATTTTTTTTAACTTGAAATTTTATAGCTTCATCCAAACTTGAATTAGATTCTGATTTATTTATGGTGCAGGGTGTTTTTTCCCCCCTGATTCCTTCAAAGCTGCTTCGGCGTTAAAAGGGGGAAGAAGGGTCTACGATTTCCTGGTGCTATTTTAAGAAAAACAATTTGAAGCCACAAATTTATCCTAAGTAAAAGAAAATTTGGAGCCAAAACTGGATCAGTCCTGTGGTTGATAATTATGATCCACATGTTTAGCAGGCCAACAGTCAGAAGAAAAGAAATAGGAGGAGTAGAATAGAGTAGAGTAGAATAGAATAGAATAGAATAGAACAGAACAGAACAGAACAGAACAGAACAGAACAGAACAGAATGGAATTCTTTATTGGCCAAGTGTGATTGGACACACAAGGAATTTGTCTTTGGAAAAAAGAGGAGTTCATTAAAGCCCAATTGTCCTCCCACTAATCAGTCTCAAATGGCAGGGATTGAAACATTATTCCCAGGATTTAAGACTGGTCTGTGCAATGAATAGGAAGCCAGCGAGGGCGGAATCATTTCTTTGGGGAAAAGGGGGCCTTTTGTCAGAATGCAGAGGCCACTTTTGAACACCTTCAAACACTGTTCCATATGAGGAAATATGGCAGGAGTTTAATCCCTGCCTTGTTGACACACCTTCTGGCTTTCACAAGACCCAGAGGGGGTTGACTATTGATTGTATGCAAAGATTCTTGTGATCTCCTCTGGGAATCTCCGTTGATTTCAATGGGACTCATTTCAGTGGGATCCTTCAAGGCTTTGTCAGCTGAAAACTGACACATTCTGGATATTTTAGACCAGGGGTTGGCAACCTTAAACAATCAAAGAGCCATTTGGACCCGTTTCCCACAGAAAAGAAAACACCGGGAGCCACAAAACTCTTCCTGTGCCTGACTATTCCCTGAGCGGCCACAAAACTAGCATACGTGGTTGAATTAAACTTTCTGTTTTCTTCTGAAACATTTCTTTTCTTGGATTTATCCATGGTGGGCCTACCGGGGGGGGGGGGTGTCGAAATGCTCAATAAATTATGTCTCAAATTGGTGGTTGAAATGCATATTTTGAGCAACAGGGAGCCACAACAGAGGTATGAAAGAGCCACATGCAGCTCCAGAGCCACAGGTTGCTGATCCCTGTCTTAGTTGAATGCAACTTCATAAACAGGTGGTATTCAGCCGGTTCGGATGGTTATGTCTAGTTTAATGAAAAGAAGGACTAGGGGAGACATGATAGCAGGGTTCCAATATCTCAGGGGCTGCCACAAAGAAGAGGGAGTCAAGCTATTCTCCAAGGCACCAAAGGGAAGGCCAAGAAGTAACGGATGGAAACTAATGAAGGAGAGAAGCAACTCAGAACTAAGGAGAAATTTCCTGACAGTGAGAACAATTAATCAGTAGAACAACTTGCCTCCAGAAGTTGTGAATGCCCCAACACTGGAAGTTTTAAAGAAGAGATTGGAAAACCATTTGTCTGAAATGGAATAGGGCTGTGATGTCCATCTGGGTTCAGTTCCAAGTGGGGAAAAATACACTGGAAACATGGAGGCTGTTTGGAAAGATGGTTTACTGGTGGACAGGATCACACAGCTTGAACTCCTGAGCAAAAAAGGGCAAAGAGGCTGAAAGTCCCTGGATTTATGCCCTCTTCTGGGCTTTGAACTTCCTGGGCCACAGGAAGAGTATCCTGATTGGTTGCTAGCTTTGTAGGTTGTGTGCTAGGTTTGGTTGAAACTTGGTGGGTGGTACAACGATATGGGGTAGATCTTTGTTATGTAGAATAGGTTGGCCCAGACCATTAATGGCCCATTGACAAAGGCGGGGGACTGATTTTCTGCTCCTCTGAGTTTCTACTTCTCTTTTAGGGGAAATATTCTGCCTTTTTAGTATATCCTAAAATATTTCATTTTTCTAGCAGAGAGGTGGGCTTTACCCTGTTTTCCTAAAAAATAAGACCTCCCCGGATAATAAGCCCAATCGGGCTTTTGAGCGCATGCGCTCAAATAAGCCCTCCCCTGAAAATAAGCCCTCCCCAAAAATATTGCAACTATGCTCACCGCCTTCTTCGCCTCAAAAATAATCTTGGAACTCTGGATGATTGGTGACATTATGGTCAATTGAAAATATGAATGTATATTATAAATTAATGGAAATTCTTTGTTCTAATCTCCGCTTTTCCTCCTTAGAGATAGGTGACACTATAATACTTTAAAGACTCATTGTTATTTGATACATAATTATGAATTCAAGGAAATAAGGATTGTTACAAATGAAAGAATATTAATGGTAATTTGAACACATAATGCTCAATGACAACGAAATATTCAGTTATGTTTAATGTAAACCAGTGATGTTAATCCTAAACTGAAGAATTGATGTACAAAAACTTGAAACCAAACGACATGCTTGATGAAATGGCACTGAAAAAAGTGACATGATCATTTTTTATACTTATTTCCTTGAATTCATAATTATCTATCAAATAACAATGCATCTTTAAAGTATTATAGTGTCACCTATCTCTAAGGAG